GCTGTAGGTTTTCACCCGATGCCCATATGGTAGTGTCATCAGCAAACAAAACCACTTTCACTAAATCAGAAACCTTACATATATCATTAATATATAGTATAAATAATTTAGGTCCCAAAACAGAACCTTGAGGCACTCCACATACGATGTCCAGCTCACTCGATTGGTATTCACCCAACTTCACAAATTGACGCCTCTGTGTCAAATAACTTCTGATCCAATTCAGAACCATTCCCCTGATCCCATAGTTTTCTAACTTATCCATTAATAATGCATGATTGATTGTGTCAAATGCTTTTTTTAGGTCAATAAATATTCCCAACGTGTATTTCTTCTCATCCATAGCACTTGCTATGTCCTCCATTAGGTCGGTAATGGCCAAAGATGTCGATCAGTTTGACCTAAAACCATTTTGGCAATCAGAGAGGATTTTATGTTTGTCAATAAATGTGTCTAATCTGTTATTAAAAAGTTTTTCCAAGATTTTTGAAAACTGTGACAACAGAGAAACCGGTCTATAATTTGTGAAGTTGTGCTTATCCCCAGATTTATACAGTGGAATAACCTTTGCTATTTTCATATTATTGGGGAACTGACCAAGTCGAAACGACATGTTAAAAACATGGGTTAATGAAGCCACCTTAGCTACAATGCTAATGCTCCCCTCGATTGCCCATTTAACCACTGTCATACTGATACCATCACTATCACTGGATGATTTATTACCACATTTGTTCACTGTCTCTATAATTTCCTTTTCAACAATTGGCTTAAGAAACATAGAACACATATTTCTTTCAAGTCTAAACGGTATTTGTACAGCACAATCTCTCAGTCAGAACAGAAGACTACATGTGCCTCTGTCAGACAATCATGTCTTAAAGCATCCGTAAAGGTGTTCATATTATTGTAAAATAAAAGCTTTTGTATGCACCTCGCCATTCCTGTGTGGTGCAGAGCGGGAGTGTGACAGAAGTTCAGATTTGTTAACGTTGACCCCAGTTCTGTTGACCCTTGTGGGCATAGCCAATCACTAATGATCACAGCTTGAACTGACTACTTGTCTACTTGTGTCCCTGAATCTCCCAAACTGCAGAATAACATATCAGTTACAGAAGCAGCAACAAGACTGTTAAAAAGGGCACAGCTTGAGTCTCTGAAACGTAGTGTTCAACTGGTAAAAGCATTAGCATTGTAGCTAAGGTGGCTTCATACATAATGTGCCCCAGGGCTACTGCATCAACCAGAGCAAGACCCTCATTATTCTGAGATCATGAGAATACACCATAACACTAAAACAGCAGAAATGTGTCAATGGCAGAATCAGTTGTAAACAGTGTAGAAGTTTGTTCACCTCTCTGTTTAACCTGTGCTTGCTCACAGCCAGAGCCCTTTGTTATTCTTAGATTAAAAGGTGTACACGTGAGCAACCACACCCAGACCTGCAGAACAATCTGCCAAAATGAGCACTGTATTGGTGTAAACTGTTACACCCGACTGCTTTAGTGCTGTGGGAACGTGAATACAATTTGTCACATTAACAGCTAGGCTAATACTGACATAACCTGACTGCAAATGTAAGTGAAGGGAAGTCAGAGACCTGGTGAGAAAATGAAAAAGGTTCTATTTTGTACACAGCTTTTGATCTTTTGAACCAAGTTATAAAGGAGAGAACAGAGAAGGAAGCAAGAAGGACCGGGCAGACATTAGGAATTGTATTCCATTTTCCCAGGACAAATATAGTGCGTCCAGGTCACCTAGGTCTCCCTTGTGTCATTTTGAAAGTAGATCACTTTGCACCAGAGATTCCTTCTGGAGTGTAGTACAGCAGAAATCTAGGTTGCTCTCTTAATGTGTTCACTAGCAATGCAAAGGAATTGTGAAATATGAAGTGGTACTACACTGCTTAATACAGTTCATTTTACAATATTATTCCTTACAGACAGATTGTGATGGTTATTAGACCATTCTCTGATTTCAGACACTTTTGTTTTTTCTTTTCCCCCCATGAACATTTTAAGGAGTTACTCACCTAATGTAACTGTCAGAGTAACATAATATATTCAAAGCAGTGGAGATACGTGGGTAAAATACTTACCTTTTAAAACAGGGATGTCTCAGATAGTAACCCATCTTGCTCCTGAACCTGCACTAAAATGCTCACAGTAATGCATGTTGGTATTGGCCAATATAGGTGGGAAAATAACAGGTATTTAACTCATCTTCAACCAACACATCAGTAGGTCCCTATTAAAAACTGTCAGTGTTGCTGGTTTTAAATTTGTGTGTGATGTGATGTGTAAAAAAAAAAAAAAAAAAGTCAACCTGAACTGGTTTGTTTCCTTTACAGATGATCATGAGGATGAAGATGCTGTTGTCAACAGAATATCGTGAGCAAACTGATTTCTTTTTTGGAGAACAATTGAAGATGTAACATTGGGCTTCAGAAAATAGTGAATTTGCAATTTTAGTACATTTTTACAGCGAATTGATTAATCAAGAATTTAATAACAGACTAATTGATAATGGGAATAATTATTAGATGCAGCAATGACCACTAATTTTGAAGGTGTTACTTAAGCTAGAACAGTGCTGCAAGTATCACATATCCCAGTCTAGAGTCAGTCACACCCTCAGAGGTACTTGTAGCCACATGCTGCCTTTTTGAGCCCAGCTGAGGTAAATGGTCCTCAGGGGCTCAGTAAGATAATGGAAAGCATTTCAGATTAATGAGGTTCTTTAGTGATTTGGTGAAGTGGTGATTTTGTTTCATCCCACTGATGACAACTTACTTTTGCTTATTAATTCCTGTCACACTGTAAGCCAAGTGACTCTTTTTATAAAATGACACGTAACCAAAACTATCCCTACAGGACCCAGTAATTGCTTTTAACCTATAATAGGATTTGAAAAACAAAAAAATGTATTTTTTTTGGTATTATCTCGATTAACTCTAATACACGTATGTCCGTGCTTTTGTCTGTTGGTGTGTGTGTTTGATTCTGTTTGCAGATTGTACTTGTGCACCTTCACCCTGGCAGTGTCGGGTGGTGCCGTCTTCCTACTGCCTTTTTCAATCATTAGTAACGAGATCCTCCTCTCCTTCCCCAAAAACTATTACATTCAGTGGCTCAATGGCTCCCTTGTTCACGGTCAGTAGACCACGCTGTTCATGTGTGTTTTCTGTTTTAATTAACTAATTTTCTCTCTCTTTCTTTCTCTTTGGCAGTTTATTGATTATAGCCTTAATGTGCCAAGAATAAAGACAGGCTAATTTTTGTTCTTCTCCAAAAAAAAAATGGAATCAGAACCAAAAATCAATAAGAACTTGGTTTGACAAGCAGAATTGGAATTGATCAAATTAAAGAAAGCCTTCAGCAAAAGGTCCTGTACAGAGGCAAACCTCTCTTTATAACTTTGTGAAGAAAGAGAGATTTCATTTTCCAGGAGGCCAGTAACAATACTGAATGAAAACTATGCTGGGTGTGTTTAAATTCCAAGAAGAAGATAGATGCTGACGTGTGGGATCGGTCTATTTGGATGCCTTTGAAATGACTCAAGTTATATGGTATATGGTACGGTATACTGATATTTTTGATACTAGACTGAGTAAAAAACTATGAAAAAGGTGAGTGATGCACATAACAAATACTGAGGGATTCTGACTGTGTATAAATACTAAGACACTTTTACTCTTCTTAAAACTTAAACTTGTGTTTAAGGAATATTACTTGACTACTCATTTCTGTTAATCGTAAATGTGTACAAGATGGACTAACATAGCATTTTCTATTTCATTTACACAGTTGGTAAGGTGCTGGGTGCTGCAGCATCCACCAGGGGGCATTACAGTCCATGATTTAGACATTGCTAGGTGGACATGCGTTTCACCACACAACTACTGTATAATAATATTCATAGGAAGACAATGAAAATCAGTGTGTGATTTGCCTGTGCCATATTAATAGACTGTATGTGTGCACTCTCATATGTTTGTTTTCTGTAGGTCTGTGGAACCTGGTGTCACTGTTCTCCAACCTTTGCCTTTTTGTCCTGATGCCTTTTGCTTATTTCTTCTTGGAGTCTGAAGGATTTGCAGGATCAAAAAAGGTAGACTGCTTTAAATGTTTGTTGGAGAATTTCTAAGTGTTATTTTGTTTATTTTCTTAGGTAAATTTGCCATAAAAAAAGCATTATAAAGTGCAAACAAGAAGTCATTTCTAATGATTAAAAACTGAGGGCTGAAAATTATGAAATGTAAAATGTGGAACTCTATTTTCTCTTCTTTTCTTTTTTTTTTTGTTACTGTATTTGTGTGCTTTGCTATCTGTGCAGGCTTCTTCTCAACGGCCAAAGCAGCAGGTGCCTAGTCCTTGCACTCTCCCTGACTCATGCCACTGGCCATAACTGCCACTGCAGAAAGCTCATTATCCAGAAGTCTGAATCTGGTCTTCGCCAAGCGCCACATTCTTCCAAACGTTCCCAATAATTGTGGCCATAGGCTGCAAACGCTTCAACGCTGCTGCATCGGCCCTGCTGATTTAAAGCCTGATTCCTTGTCACCTCCTCCCCAGCCCCCCTAAAATAAAACTTCAAAAGGGCAGGCTAATAATCGAGTTGTAAGGCTCAGTGAACTTCCTTGTTTAATTGATTACCCCCCAAAAAAGAGGCTGGGGGCTTGTGTTCCAAAAGTCCATAAAGTCGCAGCAACATGACAGCACAATAGAGCCTCGCAAAATGGAGGAGGGAAAGATTTACTTTTAATACACCTCTATCCTGTGTCACAGTTTGAAATCCCTCTGGATTACGTATGTCCCTCCTGGCAAAAGCACATAAAAATGAGTAGTGCACAGCCAGTTCTTTTTCTTCCTCAGCCCTTTAATTTGTTTCGGTTGGATTTCTTTAGCAGAAGGTAGGCCCTGATCTGTAAGGAATAGGATGATGCCCTCTTTCACATTTCTCCTTTTAGTTCTTTTTCATTTCACCAAGACAGTTTCTTGCTACCAATCTTCTATAAATTTGCTTAAAGGAAGCACAGTTCAATGAGTACACATCCAGGTGCATACTGTGTATGCACTAAGCAAAGGACTTAGGTGATACTCCTGTTTAAGCTAAAAACCTACATATGTTGCCTGCAGAATCAATCATGCAGCCAACAGGAAGAGGAATGTAATGCACAGATCTCTGTTTTAATAGTGTGATATTATCCCTTTCCCTAATAGCAGTATTAAATTGTAGTGCCATGTGGCACTTCAACCTCCTGGGCTAATGTTATGGCACTTTGAGATCCTTCTGACTGCAGAAATGGAGTGTTTACTTTTGACAAAGTACTAAAAGAGCCACCAAAATAGAGATGGAAAACTCATCAGGACCTCTGTCACCCGACTGATTAATAGTTTGACCAGCTGTCCAAATGTCGTTGAATCAAGGTGACTTATGGTTTTCAGATGTTATGATCTGGCTTTATTTACCACTATAAAATGTCTCCCAATATAATTTTGCATCACTTCGCCCATGTTATGTAGTTCACTCTTTTAGGTTGTGATCATGTTTAAGAAACCTATTCCATGTGTATTTGTACTTCTGCATCTTGCAATTATAGTGGTGTAAATGGAAGTACTTCAGGTTTTGTTTTGAGCGTGCTGGGATGGATAACAATGTGTCCACTTTTGAGGCTTTGGACATCCCCTTATGGCACTGATGTCACTTAACTCCACATCACCAGTAGATGGCATTACAGTAATGAGAGCCATCTGTATCATCCTTATTGATAATCTGGCAAATACTGTGAAGACTTCAGCACAAGCCTTTTTCAGACTTCTGTTTATACCAAGGCACTTAAATGGGCTTAATAATTCTACATGATGAGTATGATAACTTGAAGCTATATTTACACAAAACTCAAAATTAATTAGATCAAGGTAAAAATAAGTTTGGACTGACAACTTCCTGGTCTATTTCTAATGCAATCCAATTTTATTTAATGCTCAGATATTTAAAAATGTTTAAGCTGTAGTTAGTAAAAATTATTGCAAATGTAGTTTAACGAAAAGTATTTTAGGTGTTTCATGAGACATTAGTTTTAGCCTAAAGAAACCACATATGTTGTGGAAAGTATACACTGCAATGACTAGTGTTTTGCTTCTAGCCAGAGTATTGAAATGTGTTTGATCCTGAAATGAGCTGGAAAGAGTCTGACCCCCTGACTGACAGGAGCAAAGGGCCAACAGGTTTCATCTGGTAGTTAAAGAAACTCCTCATCAATCTCATCCTAAGCCCTAACCCGCTGATGATGAGAAGTGGGTTTATTGTAGAGGGGAGGGGCCGGCTCGCCCAGCAAACCCGTGTGGTGTTACTAAGATACTCCTCTTTGTTGGAGCTCCACAATGGGGGCCTGGATATTTATTTCAAATCTCTTGCACATGCAGACATTTTTCCCAGGCCTTCTTTTGGACAGGGCCTGGTGTAGAATATAAAGTGATGTTTACATACCTTCCTTTAAGGTCACAATGTCTCCCTAAAGCTGCCTGTTACAATGTTTGTTACCATGGCAACATATTAGTTCGAGCTGGGAATTTAGAAAAGAACAAGTGAGTTTATCAGGACCCCCTCCCCTGTGATACATTGTGAAACGTACTGATTGTGCACCAACTTTCAGCCATATTTGAAGATTTTAAAGCAAGATGTTGCGTCGACTGGATGATAACACTAACCCTGTAGGGCAGAGTTGTTAGGCTACTAGGTGTACTTGGAGCTTAACAAAACCCAGGATAGAGTCATTTATTCTTTTAAGACTTACCAGTTTGACACTTATCTGTAATCAAGTCATCACTGTAGGATGCAAATAAAACTTGTCAAACTTTAGAAGTATTGTAGCTGCATTTTAATTTAAGATCAGTCATGCAAACCAAATGGTTGGTTTCAGAGTTTTAATTTACATCTCACAACAGTGTTGTCGTCTCAGTTTGAACTATATGATGTGGTACTGATCATTTTCCATACACTTGCGTTGTTGGGCCTTTAGTTGGGTCTTATTAGGAGTCTTTAGAAGTTCATGGTGTAGCTTTACAGGGGAATGTCCCCTTTCCTCTGCTTTCTGCCTGCACCTTCCCAAACATCATCCCTCTCACACAGTCCCTCTGCAGTTCGGTGTAATTAGGTGGATTTGGAGGTTGATTTACTTGGCTGCACATGTGGCTCTCTGTGTGACCGTACATGAATTCATGCATGTTCATTTGGTACTGCTTGTGAAGCAGGTACTTTCTTCTCTGGTCACTACACACATTTCTTGGAAGTCTCTCCAATATTGTACGAGCTTAAATGCAGTTACCCAGGCCCCTTGCTCGATGGTGGTGTGAGGATCAGGGGATGCTAAATATTTCAGAGCTGCTATATTTAGAGGTAGTTACATGTTTAGAATGGCAGGAATAGAAACTTTGAGCAGGCGCTCTGGATGCCAAGGCACAGATCTTCATCTCTTGCTTCACCAGTTGACAGTTGTACCTTTGATCAACAATGATGGCTTAGCTGGTTGTTCCTATTTTTATACCAATCCAGTTCAGTTCAATGCAATTTTATTTGCATTGCACCAAATAAAGTCATCTCAGGACACTTTACAAAGTAAAGTAGAGATGATGATTATTATTAATAAGAAAAACCCAACAAATCCCCCTTAAGCAGCACTTGGCGACAGTGGGGGGGGAAAAAAACTCCCTTTAACAGAAGAAACCTCCGACAGACCCCGGCTCTTGGTAGGCGGCCTTCTGCCTTGACCAGTTGAGGTGAATGGATAGAGGAGAGAGAAAAGAAAAGAAAAACATAGCCGTACACCAAACAGCAGTCTAGGCCTATAGCAGCATAAGTAAAGGAAGGCTCAGGGTCACCTCATCCAGCCCTAACTATAAGCTTTATCAAAAAGGAAAGTCTTAAGTCTAATCTTAAAGGTAGAGAGGGTGTCCGCCTCCCAAACTGAGACTGGGAGTTGGTTCCACGGTAGAGGAGCTTGATAGCTAAAGGATCTGCCTCCCATTCTACTTCTGTGGACTCTAGGAACCACAAGTAAACCTGCACTCTGAGAGCGAAGTGCTCTGTTGGGATGATAAGGGACTATTAGGTCTTTAGGATACAATGGAGCCTTGTCATTAAGGGCTTTGTATGTTAGGAGAAGGATTTTAAATTCTATTCTGAATTTTACAGGGAGCCAGTGGAGAGAAGCTAATATGGGAGAGATATGATCTCTCTTGCTAGTTCCTGTCAGTACTCTGGCTGCAGCATTTTGGATTAACTGGAGGCTTTTTAGGGAATTATTGGGACATCCTGATAGTAAAGAGTTACAGTAGTCCAGCCTGGAAGTAACAAATGCATGGACCAGGTTTTCAGCATCAC